TTATAAACGAGAAGGCGACTTTAGTATCTTCAAACATACAAAACCTCGGGATGTGTGTATTTGGACGCTGTGAGACCTTAAAACAACTGCATGAAAAACGTGAGAAACGTGGGAAAAAGGAGAAGTGTTGGCAGGTGTGGTGGTGAGAGGTTAAATCTGGACGACTCGTTGGTCTACAAGCAGCTTAGCTAGAGGATTACTAGAGATGATCAATGATGATCTGATGTGTCTTACAGCAGCTGGTTAGGTATGGAATCATCATTTGTGTCATTATATTTCTGAAAGTAAAAAGACTTCCTGGAACGTCTGGGGCATTGAGCTGTCACTCAAAAACTCATCAGCCAATGGGGACACATTCCTCAAAAACAAGAAAGCTGACAGAGAGAGCAAAAGTCTGATCAGTGAGAAAGAAAAAAGAGGGAACTGTAAACAAAAGGACTGATAATAAGAAAAGAAAAAGGCCGATTATTTACATGATTACACAAATGTTTTAATTGCAAGTCATTTGTTTTTTGCTTCAGTGAGATTATTTCTCTTTCAGTCTTATTTTTTGTTTTCAATTTGAGAAGTTTTGTTTGATTTTTTTTGGCACAAATATGATTCCATAGTTAGGCAACAGATATTTAAATAAAAATCATGAAATCTATAACGAGGCACACGCTGCCCTGACTGTCCCAGCTGCTGAGTCATTTGTGTCCCCGTGCTTTGCAACAGAGAACACAATTAAATGCAAATTACAGTCCATGTACAGAGTAATATTTAGCAACACTAACACTGAGTTGTATAAAAATTCAGCTTCGTGAAACAGGCAGGTCGCTCTACTGCTCCCCTGCAGTGATAAAATACAACATGTGATGTTTCTGTGGCAGTGTGAGCCGGCCCACTCCTCCCTTAACTGAAGAACATGATACAGTTTATCATCCGCAGCGTCCGCCATTAGCCTAAACGTTGCTTCATTTCTGCCGCGACATAACGGGAGCGATTTTCAAAGTAGATAAAAGTGTTGATAGGCCAAGATCTCAGCGGTAATTACATCATGTTTTATCGTGCATAATCCCTGAGAAAAATGATGAGAAGCTGGATGAAAGTGTGCATCAATCAAATGTAACAAACCCAATTATTGTCAGCCCTCCCTTCTCTTCCTCACTGCTCACAGCCATCACACATCTCCCCATGACTCAATCCTGATACGGCAATTACAGCCACGGAGAGTCTTTTGCTAATAACTGCAATCCAATCACTTCTCAGCACGCGCGGAAGGAAAAGAAGGCCCCGCCATAACTAATGACAACCCCTAATTTACTTGATATTGTTATTTTTATGCTTCCCTCCTCAGTAGCAGGATGGTATGTTGCTTCCATTTGTCACGCTGTGAGCCTTTTGCCTCCACTGTCATGCCTCTCATGACACAGAGTGAGCGCCTGCTGTCTGTAGGAGTACATGCTGCATATGTTCACACAGAAACGAGCGCAGAGGGGACGATCTGTGCACGGAGAACAAGATGTTCAGCGGGCAGAAAAAGTGTGCTCTCAGGTCCTCCATGTTGGCAATAAGTTTGTGTTAAGGTCATGAAAGAAACATTTATCTTTGTAGATTAATGAAAGGAATAGTTTGAGGCATTTTTAATTTCCGTTCAGTTTAAAAAAAAAAAAGGACTGCACTCCCATGATTGATTATTCCTGTTTAGTAATTTCTAAAGCTCAGACTGCTGCTATGTAAAGGTTACAGATGAGACCATGCTCAGCTCTCTGAAGAAACTGCCCTTTGTTTCACATTTTCCACGATGACTGATAAGTTTGACTGCCCTTAAGTATTTCTTTTGTATAAGACTATATTTTATATTTAACCCTCCTGCAGTCCTAGTGCATTTTTTTGATGTTTTGAAACTCTTTTTTTGTGGATCATTTTGGCTGTGTTGATGCATATAGCATATATTTTGCCACAGGTGTGTATTTTGTGGTGAATTAAAAATTTCAGGATTTTTTTTGTATTTTAGCTCTTCAAAAATGGCTCCATTCATGGTTTTATATATTTTTTATCGTGCCTGTGAGGCCGCTTCAAGACATATTCAGAACTAAAACAATTTGGGTGTATTTTAGGAATGTCATAATGTGGTGTGCATGTGTGTGCGTTGAGAAAATTGTGTGTGTCTGTGCGTCAATAATGTAGTCCTTATTGAGAATTGCATGTCAGTGCAACATAGAAAATGATGCCGAGACTGTGCAGACGTGTGTGTGTGTGTGTGTGTGTGTGTGTGTGTGTGTGTGTGTGTGTGTGTGTGTGTGTGTGTGTGTGTGTGTGTGTGTGTGTGTGCAGAAGTTCCTTCACAAATCTTCAGATGGAAGATGATTTACCGACATGGTAATCCAAAATAAAAGCCTGCTATTCTGGTTTTGTTTACACGGGTGATATCGCAAGGAAACAGGGCCAAAGGTGAAGCATTTATTATATAGTTGTGACACTACACAAATTTTTTTTTTTTTTAACTAAATCAATGCTGATTCCAATTTTTGACACTCCCAGGCTCCGATAATCCCACCCAAAACAAAACAAAAAATCTATTTTCCATATATGGAATGGAAAATTATTCACTTTTTGTGTTTTTTGTCTTATTTTGAAATCCGGTTCTAATCACAATAACTGGCATTTAAGGGGTTAAATTCCAGAAACACAATGAATATGTTGCTATGCATGGTGAGGACTGAAGTTGATAATAGTAACCATAATAATAGACATGATAATATTTCTATGTCGGTCTTTATTGAAGCATTTTTCTGTGTCGTTAGGGGGAAAGGTGTGACACAAATCCTAGGTTGTAGGAGGGTTAGCAACTGACTCTTCAATCATTTGAATTCTCAACTCTTAATCTCACAAACATAAATACAGAGCAGCTATTCTTAAGACTCGCTATCACTGGGGGTGTGACGAGATCTGAAGATAGTTAAAAGACTCGACTAGAGAATGTAGACCAGACCTTCACTGTCGTGACTCAGTTTGATTTAGGGCGATTTCTCTGATGTGCAGACGCGGACTCGACCGCGCATCTCATTTTCTCTCTCTCTCTCTCTCTCTCTCTCTCTGTCTCTCTCTCTCTCGTACGCCTGTTTGTAAACTGAGCACGCTTCATAATAACATAAAGTGTGCATGTGTTGTATTACGACGTTATGTACAAGAGGTAATCGTGATTTTAAGACCCGTGCCAGCCAGCGTGTGAATGGCGTAGCGGGGGGGGGCAATCGTGCTCGAGTACAGCACGGTACAGATGGCCAGTGTGACCGCGCCCTTAATAAGTTCTCTAATGGTGCTGAATCTTGTCTTCTTCTGTTGGATACCGATCAGAAGATTTTCATTTTTCCAGCTTCTTCTTAAAGTTTCAGACCGACTTGCTTGTTTTCTGGCCCGCTGGCATCAGAGAAAACAACATAATATGGGGGATAAATCGGCCGATGGGAGGAAAAGCCGTAAACCATGAAATCTTATTGGACAATCAATCAGTCAATTTTGCCTGCCTGACCTCCCCCCCCCCCCACCCAACACCAAATTGGAGTCCTCCACTGTGGTGAAGTCAGCTGGTAATTTGGGAGTGCAGTGCTTTGGGGTACTCTGCTTCTATTGAGGCGGAGAGCAGCATCCCCCAGAAAGTGCTCTGAACAGAAAGGGCAGCTCAGGCAAAGCACTGAAGGATTTTTCGAGAGGAAAAAGCTTAAAAATAATGACATCTTTGGAGGGAGTGTGCTATGGCTGAGAGCTCCTCCAGCCTTCTGCAGTATAATTGGCCCCCACATAAAGCACCATTACAATTTGATTTGGCTATAAACAGACATTTAAAGCTGCCACATTTCATTTTGCACTTTGTTGGCCCAAAATGGCAGCAGGAGGAAACTGTACGAGTTCTGCAGACATCAGTATAACGAAATCCTTTTAGAGCAAGATGAGTAAACTGCATTGGTCAGTGGGGTTCCTTTAGAATCTGAATCAGTAATCCCACTCTGTTGTTTGATCTTTGACAGTGGGGACAGCCTATCATGTCCTATCATAATGTTTACTGACTGAAAGACTCTGACTCTCCATTTGACTGAAGGTAACATTGATCAACCTTATCCACATCCTTGTTTTCCTTTTCTTGTTCAGAGCTCTTCTTAGGAGGTGCCTTGAGGCCAAATGACTGCGGTTTCCATTTTTTGGAATGCTGACTCAAACTCAATTTTGTCAATCTTGGATCTTGGGGAGCTGAGGCGGGTCTAAGGCCTCCGATCAAACACCTACAACCTGCACGCCTGTTAGTCCGATCAGCCACGCCCCTAATTTTGCACAACTCTTAGCCTTAATGTAATAAAAACAGATGAGTGATGAAAAAATTCCCCCTAAGAACAATGTGTTTATTTATGCTGTAAAAATTGACATTTGAACTTGGGTGTTAATGAGACTTTCAGGATTTTACAACTCACCTCACGTGGACGCTCGATGAACTGCAGTTTTGTGCACTTCTGCAGTGGCTTTATTTATCAACAGCAGAGGTTGTGTTTCCACAAACATTTATAACTGTATATCGGTCAGTGAGGGAGAAAATACAATGACGAGCATGGCAATGTTTTTGCACCATTTTTTACTGAGAGCACTGTTAGTGCAGCGACCAAAAACAGGGCAAGGCTGTTTAGGTGCCCAGGATGCTGAGCTGCTGTACACATATCTCAACTCACTTCACGATGATTGAATCACTCTGATTACCAGACAAAATGACTGAACTTTAACCCTGAGATCACAGAATGACTCCTGAGTGAAGCCTTTGAGATAAAAATGAGCGAGTACATCAGTGAGTTACATTTTCTTGTCACTGATTCAGTTTTTAAGTTTGGTCAGAAAGCATGAAACACACAACCTAAATGTAAAATCAAGCCAACAGCTGAAAGACAAATGTGGACTGTGGTTCACGTCTTTCATCAACTTTTGCAAAAAGAATAATCATAGTTTTAATAAATGAAGTGAAAGAATGTAATTACCAGGATGGTGGAGACGACCAGGGAGCGATTAGATAACGAATCAGAGACGTTCGTGGTCTTTCCCTTCTGGTTGTCAGTCATGTTCAGACCACTCGGAGGATCCCAGGTACCAATCTGTGAAACAAAATAAAACACTTTAAAGGTCACATATCCTCCTCCTCTTCAGTTTAAATAAGTCTCTGAGCTCCTCAAAACATGTGTGTGAAGTTTCTTGTTCTAAATCCACTCTGATCCTGTATTTGATCATGTCTATAAACCCCTCTATTTCAGCCCTGCTCAGAACAGGCTGTTTCTGTGTCTGTACCTTTAAATATGTAAATGAGCTGTATCTGACCACGCCCCCTCTCTGGAAGGGCTCGGGTGTACTCGGTGCTTTCTCGCTCCATGTCCTGTTGTTTACAGTGAGAAGGCAGACTCAGAGGGCAGAACAAACACCTCGCTGTGGGAGTGTCACCCACCTGGGGGAGGGGCTACTGCCCTTTGTGATGTCATGAAGGGAAAATCTCCAAATGGCCTGTTTGAGCACAAATTTTCTGAAAAGTGGAGCAGGCAAAAAGATGGAGAGGATGGACTTTTCTCATCACTGGGGGGTTTACAGATGGACTAGAGACACATGTTATTTTTTTGCATTTGGTTAAAATCTCATTTATGAGTTCAAGTTCTTCATTTTCTTTCTTCTGTTCTTTGAAATATGATGATCTGCCGATAGCAGACTTGTCCATGATTGTAATAGATTATATGACGCTTCCTCAGCTTTCTTATGTGAGCGCACTCATGGAAACTCAGGGTTGATTGATCAGGTTTTGAGTGACCACATAGCGTGGTCTTGTTTGTCAGAGTTAGTGAAGACAGATAACCCAAACATTTCTCAGGTATGTTGAACTTGTTTCATAGTACAGACTTCAGGTGGGATAAAAAACTGACCATTACCTTCCATGACTCAAACCTCCACACTCTTTACTTGACATTCAGCGCAAAGGATGCTACACTTCCTGCAACGGGGGATCTATTTTCTCTAAGGACTCGTATCTGTATCTTTACAAACACAAAGGCAGACGGGCACAGCGTGGACATATCCTGCACTCAAACTCTCCCGTCTTCCTTTGCTGGATTCAGACATAAAAACCTGCAGCACCCTGAGGACACGGCTGACAGCCATGCGAACCCTCAACACTTTGTTCTGGCGTCCCACAGGGAATAACGCCGGAGATGATCTGAAGGATCCGGATTGGCCCTGTGGCCTTTTAGAGGGTCAGAGGATGACGTCACTGAAGGAGGTGAGGAGGAGAAGAAGCTATCAGAGCATGCCTCAAGGCCTCTCTTGCCCGCTCTCAGCTCTCTCTTCAAGTCAACACCCAAGCCTCCCCCCTCCAACCTCACCGCCCTGAGCACCACTGGCGGCGACCACAAAAACACCAAACCCAAATCAGCCACACGCTCCTCAGGGCTCCTCTGACGCCTTGCACGAGGGGCCCGAGACCTGTTTTGTAATTGCAAATCAACTCTTTAATTCAGGCTTCATGAGGCTGGAGGGCTTCTGAAGGGTTTTTTTTATTAATGGGGTAAAATATTCATGAAGGTGTGTGAGCACACCGAGCAGAGGGTCAGGAGCCGCAGCGAGGCGGCACCTGTGTGGATGCTGAAGTGTGAAGTGTCTGCCGTCCCATCGGAGAATATTATTAGCATGTGCGGTATTAGCAGGTTCTCTTCACGCTGATAATCTCATGAATCTTAAATAGACTGCTGAGTACTGCGCAGAGGCCACTCCTGGGAAAAGATGCAAACCACACACACTTCCACTCATGTGAGAACTTTAACACATGCTAACCAATAAATAATCCAGTCCAGACATGTGAGTCCGAACACTTCCACATATGTATGTAAAGATAAAGCCATGGGGATGGGTATAACCAGGGGGCGTCTCTTTGGATATCAGCTTGAAAACTTCCAGTGCTTATGTCATATTGTTTAGAGTAAAAAAAATACCTGTCCCTGTGAAAAGACCCAGACCGTCACCGTAACTGGACAAAGTGCTATGTGATTTTTCACACTTGAATATAATATAAATCAAGTGTATCCTCTGAAAATAACTCATGACTAAGTCATGACTGTCTACAATGGGTGTAACACCCGAGTCCCACTGTCTGTGATGTTTTCAGAGTTTTCAGAGTCCTATCTTCACTTTGTTTACATCGCCAGGACGGCCGGCTGGCTGACTCCTCCCCTCGTGTATAAAAGTTGTTTAATTGAGGGACTAGAGAAAAGAAGAATAACATACTGTACTCACTGCTTAACTGTGTTTCTAGATCACGCTCATTTCAGGTAAATTTACATGCAGTGTGAAGATACCAGCATAATAAAGATCGCTAGCATTAGCATGCTAACACAACAATGCAGCACCAGTTGTTTTGGTTTCATGCCGGTGCTCAAGGGCGACATCTGCTGGATCAAAAAAATCACATACAAAGTCAAAGTAAGATTTATAATAATCGAGAAAAATGAACATCCAAACCAAATAGGGCAGGGGCTGAGTCGAGGAAGAATGTCGCTGAAAACAAACAAAAAGGGGCGCTGGTAGCCTAGTGGTTAGTGCGCTCGCCCCATGTACGAAGGCTTTAGTCTTCCGAGTGGGCGTGCTCCAATACCCAGAGAATGGGATTCACCAGGGTAGTGATGTTTGGAGCAGACATTGATATATTGTAGATAATACGCTGAGAGAAAGAGTTTATAACTGGTGGATGACTCACACCTCAACCATGCATTGTTTCATTTAAAGTCCTCATCTCATAAATCCTTAAGAATAAAAAATCCTTCATCTTTCTCATCGTCTTTCTGAGACAAGCTATAAGATGATGTCAAGGTCCCGTTTATTTATGAACATCTCATGAAGTATAATATCATCTTCTGTCTTTGCACTTATTCACAGAGTGTTTTCAGTAAAACAGCACTAAGAGGTTTAAATCAGTCTACATGTACCACATTAACAGTCTGAGTGTGTTTGTAGCTGTCTGAATGTAATGTCTGTACAGTTAGCTGTCGCTCGCCCTTTGAATTGAAAAAACCCAGACTGTAAAATAAAACAACCTTGAAGCAGTGAAAATCTGCCATCCCATCGAGCAGGAGCAGAAACAAAATGAAAGAATCCCCCCACAGCAGCTCAGAAACAGACAAAGGGAGACAGATTTAAAAAAAAATGTTTTCTCCTACTTGTCATTAAAAGTGTTTCTTTTCAGTAAGGCGGCTTTCCACAAGAAGTATGAAAGGAGATTACAGTCATCAATAACTCTTATGAAATGTTTGGCTGTTCGTTTTGTAATCAGACCAACGAGTACAAAGAAAACTGACTGACAACACAGGAGCCTAATAAAGATCTTTAAACGACATCAATCTTCTGTCAATTACAAAGAATTGGAAAATGAGAAAAATATTGAATTCATATTTTTTAAATTAATCATTTTTGGGGGCGCAGGATGGCCTAGCAGCTATGTCGAGCGCCACATGTACGGAGGCTATTAGACCTCGTCACAGCGGCCGTGGGTTCAAATCCGACCTCGGCCCATTGCTGCTTGACGTCCCTCACTCTCTCTCCTCCAAACACTTCCTGTCTCTCAAGAGCTGTCCATCAAATGGAGGCAAAAATGCCCCCAAAAAATATCTTTTATACTTTTCCAGTAAGAGCCACTAGAGAGCTTACATCAGGTCATATTTTAATTTGAAGTTTGCTTAGTGATCTTTTGCAGACCGATGTTGAGAGGGATGGCTTTCGAACCACATCCATTTTCAACAACCCTTTTTTTTTTAATTAGTGAAGATGTACAGAGACAAGGGTATAATATAATGCACAACCAAGTCGTTAAGTTTGTGTTTTATGATGTTAAATGTTGGTTATTCTGCATATTTTGCTTTTCACAGCAAACAGTTTGTCTGGTAGTTTCAATATGGCTGGAAATCTGGAACGTTAGCGATTACATTTTCTGTCCAAAAACCCCCAAAAGAAGTCAAGCGTAAACTCTGGGTTAGACCCTTCACTATGCACAAAACAGGATATAAAGAACAGACACACTACCTTCTCGAGCCCCTCCTCCTTCAGACTGATGACGTCCAGGTCAAAGTCCGTCCTCAGACCGTTGGAGCGGTTGAAAGTGATTCGGCCGGTCAGGCCGTCCCAGTGAGCCTAAAGAGAGAGAGAGGGGGGTGAGAGAGGATATCAGAAAAGACATTCATCACCACATCTACATCTCTGCTTTCTAACAAAGTGTCTGAGTTTTAGCTTTCCTTTTTCTCCCTCTTTCACTCACACTGTCTCTGTTTTGTGCAGTCTAACCTGATATCTCTCAGCCCACGCAGACGCTGAGCTTGAATCTGTAACCGTGGGAACACAATTACTCGATCTCTACAGATATTTAGGGCTGTGATGGGAGACAACGTGGCATGAAAGTGGCTTTCTCTCAGGTGTCACACGTTGTCTGACAGTGCTGCAGAGACTGGAGGCCAGGGACTTCAGGGTCTATCTTTAGTTAAATGAGGGGGGGGTTCACAGACCTGGAAGTGACTCGCTCTGTTCACTCCACTGCTCCACAACACATTGGTCATAGTACTCTGACTCTGAGTCTCCACTCCTCTGCACTGGAATCAGAGCTATTCACAGAGAACTATGTTACTCCAATGGGATTTATTAGGAATTTTACTAAGCAAGCTACAAAGACTCAGTCAGTTATATTTAGCTAAAAATGGATTCTCTGTTAATCGTTAAGCCTTTATTTACATCTGGCCAAAACATGAGTTTTAATATTTGTGTCCATCTATCCATCCCTTTAGGTCCCTTTAGGTCTTCAATCATTGGTATGTAGCTACAAACCGAGACAGGGTTTTGACAGACTTAAAGGTCTCATATCGTAAAACTTGTCCCTTTTCATGTTGTCGGTACGTGAAACCTGTAGAGCAGCTTTACATGATCTGCAGCTCAATAAACTCTTTACTTATCTGAAACTACCATCATTAAAAACCCTCATTCCAGCCTCTGCCTGAAACGGTTCATTTCAACTACTGTCTCTTTAAGACCCCCCTCCCTACGTGCCAACTCTCTTCTGATTGGCCAGCTCTCTGGAAGCACTCTGGAGGCAGAACACTGCAGGGCTGCCAGGGGAGGGCTGGTCTCCAGTGCTGGGAGAAGAGAGTCTATGTGAGAGGTTTCACCGGCTTGGCTTCATATCTGGGAACTATGGTGTGATTTGTAGTTTTTAGCGCCCTCGGCAGACTCATCCTGGGATTACTCTGACATTAATTTACTTCATGATCTGAATCTTTGAGTTTAGAGTAGACAGAGATTCCCCAACCTTCACCAAGGTGACTACCGGACACTACCACCACCCAACGCCCCCGACGCCCAGCCAACACCATCGGGCTTTGTCGTCCCCACAACCACCGCCGTCCTCATTCATGCACGGCCTGCTCCGACCTCCGACCTCAGCGGCAATGAAGTGTGGACAACAGGAATGCGCATTATCCCATCTCCCCCTATCCCAATTTTCTTTTTTAACATAAAAAAACGAGTACGGTCTTTTACACGCTTTTTGTAAAGCATCTCGAGATAACATTTGTTATGAATTGGCGCTCTACAAAAAATGATTGATTGAGTGAGTTTTAAAAATGAGGATCAGCATGATAGGTCAACCTTAGTATAATGTAATTAACTATATTTGTGGTGACATTTAAAACATAATGAATCAGAATATGACTGTTTGCTCTTCTCTTAATATTTAATGAAAACCTTTAAAGCTTTTTGTTTCAAGACTGGCTGACTGACTTTAAAAAATGCTCGGTGGATATCAATCCAAAAATGTGCGTAGCAAATCAGCGAGCACAATAAGTACTCTTCAGAAAACTAAACAGGAGTGGAAAAGCTTTAAAATGGAGTGGAGAAAACGACTTGTGAACTTGACTCTAGAGGTCACCGTTCTGTTCTCGTGTTGACTTTTTGTCTTTGCCCCGTCTCACGCAGAAACGTCTCTGCACCCGCTGTTCAAAACACACACCGGCTCAGTGACCCCAAGGTTCAACTGCTGGAAAAATTGGAGGAAGAAGCTTTTCAGGAGTGTTCAGTCAAAGCAAAGATTTGTTTTTTTTTTAAATGGAGGCACTGAGAGTCAGAGGTAACACAAAGGACAGCATTGTAGACAACAAAGTGGTTCTCAAATTGGGGTTCGCTGACCTCTACAGGTCCACCAAGTTTCTCAAAAGTGATCCCAGAAAAACAGGACGGGCCATATTCTGTATTTGAATGAATCAGTGTAATAAACTGTTTCACTTTGTGCTTGGACTCAAACTGAGATCTGGGGTTTGTGGGCTTTTCTTAAAAACAGCTTGTGTTGAAAAATAAATATTCTTCTAGAAAGTAAAGGGAGGGGTTGCAGAGTTCTTTGAATCAAACTGTATTAAAGTGATGGATTAAACAAAGACTACTTTTTTAGTGTTGGAAACTTTCAGGACATTTCATTAAATCTGAAGATTTGATTTTAAGTCCTCCGAGTGTAAAGCAGGAGTCTCTGTGCGGTTTGTGATTAAGTCGAGAAACTCTAGAACTGTGTGCATGGAATACGATCTCCGTGAACTTTAAAATCATGTGTTTCAGGTAGAATAACGCGAACATTAGCATGCTAACACAACAGGGAGGTGGAGGTCGATTCTGTCCCCCACAAACTAAACTCCTAACTAAGCAGCACAGAAATGGGATCGTTTCTCTAAACTTCTTTGAGGAGTTTGAATTGGTGATGAAAAAAAAAAAAATAACAGTGATGCCTCAAACCATCACCTACAACAGTGAGCGTTTCTAAACCGCAGGGGTGTGACGGCTTTTGTATATGTTTCAAACACGATACGGACGTCACAGCTCGATGCATGCAGTCATACAAACAACATCTGTAAGTGGAGAACAAAGGCAGTCAAACATGGCGGTGTCCTCACCCCATTAATACCCGTTAATCGCTTTTAAACAACAAAAGTTCAAAATAAATTAGAGAAATCTCGAATCATGCAGTCAGGACTTCTTGTTGCTGTACTCAATTTAAACCGGCCGTCCCGGCGATGTCAACAAACTGAAGATAGGACTCTGAAAACTCTGAAAGCATCACAGACAGTGGGACTCGGGTGTTACACTCATTGTAGACAGTCATGACTCACAGAGTTATTTTCAGATTATATACTTTATATCTCATTTAAAGCCTTTAACTACAAAAGCACAATTACCTCAGAGCTTGAGCCGTGAGTGAGCGAGGGGACAACCAGGAAGCAGAAGTCAGATAATCAAGGGGGCCTAGATGAGGTGCAAGGGCTAAGGAGGTCGGTTAAGGTTGTTAAATTAACTGTATAAATATTATGGTTATAACACACTATGTTCTTTATGTTTCCACTCAATCTGCCGGCAATCAGAATCATATCCCGCAATCATCTCTGGAGTCATTCTGCACGCTGGAGAGAACGATTCAAAGGTAGTGTCCTTTGACCTCGTGTTAAACCATCTCTTTACAGCTATACTGACTGACTATTCTGCACCAGTCCAGTTTAACTGTATTTCTTATAAAGGCTGCTGTAACCCAGGTTAATTAATTTGAATTTGATATTAGCCCTCTATTTTTTTTTCTTTGAAAGGGGAGTCAGTGAACCTCCATAACTTATGATTAATTGGTTTTCATTTTATTTTGTATTTATTTATTTCCCTATTTTATTTTTCTTAACATTCCATAATCTCACCTGAACTCCGCTAAAAATCTATCAACCAATCAGAGCTCATCCCACTTATCATAAACATCCGGTTCACGAGGTCACTTCCCCTCACCTCATCTCATCGCATGTTGCAGAGACAGAATTGTTTGGTTCCCCAAGACGGGACAACGAGTGTATGATTTACACAGCGGTGAGTTTGTATGTTGTGTTATTGTGTATAATGTTTGATGAGTAATAAATGTCGTTGGTTGTTTTCTCCTGCAGGAATCGCGGGAGAAATTTTTATGCCGAATCCCCTTGGGACAACCCCTAATTTAAAACACCTTAAGCCTTGTCATTGAAAAACTTGGCATGTATTTATTTTTATTTGATTACACCGCAGGATTTCAAAAGGTAATCCCATGGTTAATCCTGTTTTGTAGAAATATAAGTAGATGATTGAGTAATTCCATCCAATTGGATATAGCCTAAATTTAAAGGTATATTTATGTTGTGTGAAGTTTAAGTAATGGGTTTTTCAATGAGATCCGATAATGAATATTTCAATGAATGCACAATGAATTGAATCACTGTTAATTTTTTGTTTTTTGTGTATGAACCTTACACCGTGGAGATGGTGAGCTAAAACCTACGAGATCTACCCTGCTACAAGTTGATAGGATCTAAAAAGACATTCAAACACAGATCGAAAGATATTGACTTTTCTTTTGTTTTTTTTATGGACCCAAGAAGAGTTTTTTTGATGAAGAGGATATTTATGTTGGTTGTTTGAACTTATTGTTTTGTTATATTGGAAGTATTTTTCATGTGAAATACAATAATTATTATTTAAATTTACCTGTGTTTGGATTTTGTTGGTATTCACATCTGAGCTCCTAGAGACCTACCTTATTTCTTCCTAATTTAAATTTGACTTAAATGCACAATTAAAAAAAAATCACTGCACTACACTGCCATCTTCCAAAGAGACTACTATCAAAGAGAGCTTGAAGTCAAAGGACAAAAACATCTGGACGGCTGCATGAGAGGGGAGAGAAAGAAAAAAGAGAGGATGCGAGGAGGAAACAGACAGACACGATTTTCATGGTTTAAGTTGTGAGCTCGATATATAAACACATCTGATTGTACACATTCAGAGCGTCACTGTCCAGTTGAATTATTTGCAGTCTTCTCATGATCTCTGCAAACCAAAGAGGGAGCCCCCTAAATATAGGTTTCCTAATCCTCAGCCTTCCCGCGGACAGAGAGATCTGGATTAGCCGTCCCAGCTTCACAAACGCAGCGAACTGTTGGAGGCAATTAACCAAAAATGTAGATAATGCTGTATTTTTTTGTTTCTGCATGGGTGATTAATGCTGGATGCTCCGGATACACACCATGCTCGGAGGGGCCAGTGTATGTACACACACTGGGAGAATTTTCATACAAATAAATACACAGATAAATCATCTGTGTTTATTCATTTCCCCCTACGTCTGACAGCCTCAAACCTGATTTATATTCAGCCTCCGACTGCTTCCTGAGAGCACGTGTTGAGCGTGAAGGTGTGTGTGTGTGTGAGGCAGAGCGAGGAGCAGGTCGAGCAGCGTCTACCTCTTTGATGAGGGCCATGAAGCGGTTGCCGAAGCGCCAGGGTTTGTGTCGGTTGCACTGTAACGAGCTGACGGTGATCTGCTGAGACTGCTGCACAGCCACGGCCACCACGTGCACGGCATCGTACATCAGCGCGGCGTCCGTCTGCAGGCCGAGACAGAGGAGGGGGCGGGGGAGAAAAACAGAGAGTCATTAACATGGAACACAGCACACACACACATCAGAGCGGATCTGCTCTGAATGAGAGAAATATCAATATCATGATGACTGAATCAAAGCCGCACATCGCACTCTGCATCTTCTCATGAGATGGACACAGAGACGTTAATATTCAATGATTCATCACTGACATGATAATGCAGAAATATAGCATCTGAAATAACCTAACTGCTTTTATGAAAACCTTTTTGTAGGATTATCTTTCTTAATGTCATGCTCACGATACGATACATGTTATTGTCCCTTTGGGGAAATGTGTGCATGTGACTCCAGGGTCGCAAGCAGCGCAGCGCCACCGGAGCAAATTTCCATCACAGGGTCGTCCTCACAATCTTTCACCAACCAAAATAATAACAACAGAACATGGGACTTAGTTTACTATTGTCAAGAGTGAAATCAGCATCACATGAGACGTTTATGCTTTTATATTTCAAGACAAAACCAACACACAAAGACAAATTTAATTTAATTTAAAAATGAGTAAAATATGAGGATTTGAACTCGTCATGTTATCACGTTTTAAGTGAGATGGCAGTGATTAATAACTGAACAGTATCTACATGTAAACAGAGAGTAACAATGAAAACTGAAGGAAATCAGAGAGAATATATAACCCACACTTATCAGAGTAAAATTTAGTTGTAGCCCCTCAAACATCAAACTCACATTCACAAAGTATCTTGTTAAAAATTTGAACCTGAACTGGTTGTTATTGGTAGCAACAGTTGTAGCCTTCTATGTATGTACAGTATTTATGTGTGTTTGTATACAGTATATGTATGGATGGGTGTGTGTTTGTATGGATGATTGCATGAATGGGTGGATGGAGGAATGGATTGATGGATGATGGATGTTTGGATGGATGTTTGGATGGGTGTTTGTGTTTGTATGGATGATTGCATGGCTGGTTGAATGGGTGGAGGGATGGACAGAAAGGACACTTTAGTTTGATTTATATGTAAACAAAACAAATTTGTTGACCACTACTTATCTACCGGCCCTTTGTTGTGATGCTTCTCATGCCTTGTGTGAAGCATTTTGAATTTTATTCAAATCTTTCCATTTAAGCATCGTTGCTGAAATGTGATCTATAAGGTAGATGTCCTTGCCTCGCCTTGCCTGCTCGAGCTTGGAGCCCTGTTTCTGTTTCAGACAGTCAATGCTGGTCACCAATTAGTAATGGCCACTTTGGAGTTCTAGAAATCTGCAGGCGGGCAGTGAGTCATCACATAATGTACCGACCATTATCATTTTCTACAGAGCTACAGGTGCAATGTTTACCTTGTTTAAATGTAACCATAGTCTATCATCACTGTTGTGTTCCCTAATCACAAGGCTGCAGATTCCTGACTACTGCTGCATTGCTTTCCATCAGAAACCAATTTATACAAAGGAGAAATAAAGAAGGGAGAGAGAGAGAATATTTATATAGTGGGTCCAAACAGCAAAGTGCCAGTCATCCACGCTTCATGAGAGAAGCCTATAATTTTACAGTTCTTCTTCCTCTCCGTCTTCAAAAAACTAATTAGTGTTTGTCTCGCTTGATTGAAAAGCAATCAAAACAGCTCTCCACAGTTGTTGCATGGAAATCGTGCCCTGAGGTGCTCTGCAAAGCTTTTGTCCTGCAGGAAAACATCACTCTCAAACCTGTCATTTCTCCCCCGTTTGAGCCCTTGATTGAGCAGCACGATGCTGCAAGCTTAAGAGTCCGGTTTGGCTGTAATAGCTTTGTGAAGGCAAAAGCAGTGGGCTATTCGACAAGTGCTAAAGTGTGTGTTGGTGGATTTACGTGCATGGGAGATGTCCAGAGATGTTTCAGAAACAATCACAGTCAATAAGCTCGCCTTCCAGAGATCCGGCCTGGCTCTGGAGTGTGCGCCCGCAGGAGTGTGAGGTATTAATAATCCGTGTGAGAAGAAGGTGTTGAAGCAAAGGGAGTGTGAATTTGTTACTGTGTGGGTGTCACCTGGAGGCTGTTAAGTGTGTGTGTGTGTAGGGGGGCTTACACAGATATGGAGCATCATTTTTGCAGATGTGAGTGTCAACCAGCAGTGATGGGATGGATATAATCAGCTCGCTCTGAATCAGAGGTATTATGGAAAATAACCAAAGTGACGCCTGTGGTGGTGTTATCCAATTGGACAACAATGCTGGTTAGGCATGAACACGATCAGTCGCTGTGCCTCCATCGAGAATCTCAATGGATTTAATTTAATGGAACTAGCACAATGTGAGGTTTCAGCTTCATGGATGTCATGGAAACCGGCTCACAATGCACGCTGTACGTTTCCCCTCTAGCCTCGTCTCTAACTGCTGTCTTTAACAATGTGGTGTTAAAGTCAGGTGATGTTGTATTTAGAGCTCGGAGAGGTGTAATATAATACGAGCAGATACAATTTGATATGATACAACACAAAATGATATAATACGATGTGATGATAATACCATATAAGACAGGGCAAGGACCAGGGGGCCAGACAAGCGAGTCCATTACAGCAGTACACAAGCCCATCATCAACAACACAAGCTTGTCATAAGGCTGTGAGCACATGACCAAAGATGTTCTATTAAACGGGAGCGCTCCACAATTCACTTAGCAGAAGCTTTTATCCAAAGCGACGTACATCAGAGAGTAAGAACAACACAAGCAAGGATCTAGAAAAAAGAGAACAATGTGAGTAAGAGTAACGATCAGCTTTGAGTCTGATTGGACACACAGGTGCTGACAGGAAGTGACCAGAGGCAAAGCACAACATTGAGGGCAGTTCTTGAGAGCTCTAATCAGTATAGAAACCATCTTATAAGTCGTCGTTATCGAACAAAAACCATCGTCATTACCATCATCATCATATCCCCCCCCCCCTCTCAGAGCTGAGGGCAGGAGCTGAAGCTTTTTGATGTTCACACTGTCCTCCCCCTCCCACCCCTTTAACCCCACAGACCCACAGGGACCTCATAACAGCAATGTGACACCCTGTCAGTCAATCCCGGCTCTGATTCTGTGAACAGTGGGAAGTCGAGGGGGATTTGATTTGATTGCTGGGAGAAGTTAACTTTAAGTGTAGTGTGGATTTGGCTGGATTGAGTCATGATGGTTTTCATTTTGGGGGTTTCCTAAAAAAAAAAAAAAGACTGTAACTGTTCGACCCCAGGACCTACTTTTAGGTATTTTGGTGTCATGAAGACTAATGCTTAACAAAACATTAAGCAGCTTCTTTGGATTTCTTGAATTAAGGCCGAGTAGAAATGCTTTCGATTACAAGTCGAGACAGTCCACCAAAAAGTCCGAGATGGATTTCAGCCACTACAACACGACAACACAAATAAACCAACCGAAGCCTGCACCTCCTGCTGGAGCTTTTAGTGGACGCGTTGTGATCCAGCCTGGAACTCACTCCCAAATAACATCCGACACTCACCTGCTTCAAGAAATCCCTCAAAACTCACCTCTTCACCGCTGCCTACAACCACTAACCAGGGTTCCCACTCTTTCCCGAGCTGGTATGACAGTCCGTGATCGTTTTCTTTTTTTGTGAAGGATCTTTTCGCTCCATCCTCTCAACTAAATTGTAAATAAATATCCACTTTTGACACGAGGGGGGGAAGGGGGGCGGAGCCATTACATTATCTATAGACTTCCATTCATTCTGAGTTGTGGATTATGTAACAAACAGCTACTTTTATTAACATGTTTATTAAATGTCCAACTCTGTAGGAGTGTTGGAGTAATTTTCCAGGACAACACATGACTTTCCAGGACGTTTTACTTTTTCTCTCATTTTCCAGGTGTCAACTGTTTTCCAGGTTTTCCAGGATGAGTGGGAACCCTCACTAACCCCCCCCCCCCCCCCCCCCCCCACATTACTTTTTCGTAGTACTGTCCTCGTCGTTTTTTATTTTGTTTTGTTCTTTTATGTTTTTGTCAAAGCGTCTTTGAGTTTTCAGAAAAGCACTTTATAAAACCTATGCATTATTATTATTATTATTATCATTATTATTATTATTATTATTATTATCATTATCATTATTATTATTATTATTATTATTATTATTATTATTATTATCATTATCATTATTATTATTATTATCATTATCATTATTATTATTATTATTATTATTATTATTATTATTATTATTATCATTATTATTATTATTATTATTATCATTATCATTATTATTATTATTATTATTATTATTATTATTATTATCATTATTATTATTATTATTATTATTATTATTATTATCATTATTATTGTTATTATTATCATTATTATTATTATTATTATTATTATTATCATTATTATTGTTATTATTATCATTATTGTTATTATTATCATTATCATTATCATTATTATTATTATTATTATTATTATTATTATCATTATTATTATTATTATTATTATTATTATTATTATTATCGTTATTATTATCATTATTATTATTATTATTATCATTATCATTATCATTATCATTATTATTATTATTATTATTATTATTAAGTTGCAGCCATTACAGCCCACTTCACTGCTGTGGGCTGAAAAACTTCTGCACCTGTCAGTCATTTAAATCCTCTTACACAATGTCAGAATTCCCTTTTAATAACTGGGAGATATTCCAGGGGAGGCCCCTCAGTCAGTAAGGGTGTCAGAGTTACAAAAGTATTCCCTAAATTAAAATTTGCCCCTTAATGAAAGTAAGCAGCCGAGTGTCTTCAGAGGCTGAAGAGGAGTAGAGGCTTTACTGCAGGAGTTTCTGGCAGCAGAGGTTTGTGCCGCCTCTCTGCTTCTCCCCCGTGCGAGCCTCACAAGGACCCGTCAGGTATACTCGCAAATGATTTAGCAACACCGGCACTTCACTCTATAAACATCTCATTAAAATCAATTATGTCACTCCTGAATGAAATTAAAGCTAAACGCTTTAAAAGC